GGTTTTGTATTGCTATTTGTACCAAAACCACTTTATATTCGTGGTATCCAATTATTTATTATCTTGTTTTCAATAATTCAATATTTTCTCAATTCCTGGAACGTGTTGTACATCAAAAGAAATATTACGTTTTTATTATATTCCTAATAAATTATTTCTTTTAACCTATACTAAATGACGTGTTTTCTGGGAAATTTTTAAAATAAAATTACAATAAATATTGCAAGACTGCAAAACTCTTGCAGTGTGGGTCTTGGTCTTGCAGGCTCAGTCTTGGTCTTGGTCTTGCAAAGCAATTCGTAGTCTTGCTGCAAGACCAAGACCAAGACTGCAAGACCAAGACTGCAAGACCAAGACAATTTTGCCCATCACTAAACATCATTCAGAAATTCCTACGTGGAGGGTAATTTAGGGAGAAATATTAATATACATGGTTAAGTTTAATGTGTGTTGAGAAGATCTCTGGGCAATTCACGTTTGAGGCGTCTGGCTGGGTTGTCTGGAAGAGCATTGGTATGAAGTTGAGTGATGTTTAGTGATGAGCAAAATTGTCTTGGTCTTGCAGCAAGACTACGAATTACGAACGAATTGCTTTGCAAGACCAAGACCAAGACTGCAAGACCAAGACAATTTTGCCCATCACTAAACATCACTCAAATCCCCTCATCACTCAACTTTATACCAATGCTCTTCCAGACAACCCAGTCAGACGCCTCAAACGTGAATTGCCCACAGATCTTCTCAACACACATTAAACTTAACCATGTATATTACTATTTCTCCCTAAATTACCCTCCACGTAGGAATTTATAATGTGAAACTTCTACTCACTGTACTTCCCTCATTGCCACTTATAATTATTATCACATTTACTTATTGTACCATTTTGTATAGATTGTAAATTTTCACAAATAAACATTTAAAAAAAAAACATTAATCACTTTTTTAATGGTAATTTCAATAAGTTATTTAACAATTTCTTGTTTTAATTTATTACATGAATATGAAACCAATTTATTGATTAGGCATACGAGTAAGACAGAATTATACACTGCAATAAAGGATAATTACAGAAAATGTTGCGAAATCAAAGTAATATAAATGAATAGTCAATATTGTTTTATRGTAAAACTTTGAATTTTAAACTATGTTCATATATTAATAAAATGGTATTCTTCAATTCTTGTMGTATGCGGTCTACCGCACACTTGCTGTCTACCACACATGTTTTTATACGTCATATCAGTAGCTCCCCCGCAAAAATAAAAAATGGACCCCAAAAATATTGTTATACCAAATATAACC